CATCTTGCTCATCTTGCTCATCTTGCTCAACATCTTCCTTCTCCTTGTGAGACTCCAAATACTGGTGAGCCATATTCTCAGTACTATACTGCCGTCCCAACGTATCAAAGTCCAACTCATTTCCCTCGTCACTTTCATCATAATAAACCTCTGGCAGCGGTATTTGCGCTTGGCTCTTGAACTCTTCAATTATATCCGCCACATACAACGTGTCTTCTTTATCTGAGTCTGAATGCTCCACATTCAAGACAGTCCCTTCTGTTTCATAGTCGAATCTCACAGCTTTCTTCCTTCCTTTACTGTCCACCACCACTTCCTCTTCATCATCTTCCAACTCGGTCGGTTTATCAAAATCATGGTGAACAAACATGCTGGCCAATACCGACAAAGCCTTCTGCTTCTCCTGATTTTCACTGGCTGTCTGAGACCCATCGGATGGTTCTGGTGCCATGTCTAACTGCTTTCCATAGTCCATAGCCTGAGCTCCATTTATTCCACACTTAAAGTCCACACGCTCAATAACATGGTCGTCTCCACCCTTCCATACTCCGTTGTCATAGTACCACGTCAAGTCACTTGCGGTTTTGTGTTTTTCGTACCCCCATAACTTGGTCTTGTAGGCCTTAATCAGCTTCAAGTTCCCGTTAATCAAGATCCTCAACGATTGGGCCTTAGCCTTCTCTTTCGTCCGGGGAGTTTTCCGTATTCTTCCTCTGATCACCTCGCCTCCCCCCGCGATCATGGCGTGCCGTTGTTCGTAAAACTTGGTAGGTCGGGTCAAAGATCCATACGACTTGGATCCTACCAAAGTGAGTGAAGGTGAGGAGTTTTTGGTATTGGCAGCCTTATCCATAAATACGTGTGCAGATACAGAGTAGCCTGTGCTGGGACACATTGTGGTCAAGGTGTTGGTGACGGGATTTTTGTGGTAATTACAAGTATACTCTGATATCCTGGTTTGTCTTTGTGCTTGTACCTTATCCTTTGATGCAAACGGAACCTGTCTCTCACTGTCTTTCTTCCATTGGTCTTGGAAACTGGGTTTGGCAGTGTTGACGTTCAACTTCATCCCCATGAACAATACGTTATTGAGAGATGTCAAAAGTGTGTGCAAGTTTTTGGGAGCTATGTCTAGAGTGATGAACCCATAGTAATGATCATTCAACGGTTTGGAATGCAATTCCAACGGCGAAACAACGTCACCGAACTTGGAGAGTCTCTTGGTAAGATTATCGGGAGACTCTGCAAGCTTGGGTGAGATGTTCCCTATATGAATCCTTGTATGACGAGACATGAGGGTAGAGATGATGCGATGAGATTTTTTCTGTGAGAATTCGGAGGCACCAAGAGAAGGGAAATGCAACAGAGATATGGAGGTGGTAGTTTGCGACATTCTTCTCATATAATACTATCAATTATTAAGGACAGTTTACACATGACGACATATGTGCATCCTCTCCCCAGATATGTATATCAACTGAAATACTGTAGAGCAACGCCCAGGGTAGTCCAGCGCTCACTGCGAGAGTTTTCGGCCGAAGGGTACGGGACGCCGCACGACCCCGAGCGACTATATTATCTAGGTCCTGTCCTTCACTCAAACAACAGGCCTAAAAATTGCAAATTATGCAATGACCATAGACGGGAATATAAGTACCAACTGGGCACGAGGAAGGCGGTTGTATGAGGGCGGGTCCCTGGATGACAGCAACGTTGGCTCCGAAACATCTTTGGAACAGTCGTTTGTGGTTCACAAAGACTCTCCAGGCCTAGAGAATAAACTACAAGCACTTATCGAGTCTCAAGATAACAGCGATCAACTTCACCAAGAACTCAAAGAGTTGGCAATGGAGTGGTTTTGGAACGGATATTATAAAGGATTCTCCCACAACAAAGAGGCTACACAATCTACTGATTTGAATAAATAAGAAATATACATATATCAACTCAACTATGAAACCAATCAGGTGGCAGCCCATAAGTCTCTCAAGCCCATGACAGACGTTATGGTACCGGCCAAACCCACGTCACCTTCGGTGAAGTGCAAGTAGTCCAACGAGTTTAAAGCAATAAACGTATCCAACAAATCCCAGATCAACTTTCTCTTGGCTTTGAACAATTTGGACTTGACATCTTTGACATCAATCTTCTCGTCACTGTCGCTGGCTTTCAATTTGATGGTGTTAATCTGGTACGATCTCAAGGAATTTATCACTCCCGCCACAAGTCCCAACAACCAGAACCGTGAAGCCCAGGTACTGGCCTTCGACCATCTCTTGCTATCCACCAATCCCAACATCTTCACGAAGATGAACCCGTCGATTGTCAAATAACCGGCGTAGCCCAAATTTCTGATGACGGTAGTCTGTTGCAAAACCGGGTCCATCAACTTATTGTCAAAAGCCTTGGACGCAGCTTCGAAATGGTGCAATGGTTTCAAGAACCGCATTCCCTTTCTAAGAAACGTGACTTGGGCCTTCAAGGTCTTGAATGTGTCAACCACCTGTTTGGAGTATCCGGTTCTGTACAAGTAGTAGGATAAGAATCTAGATAAATATGCCACCAATCTAAAGGACTTTTCTCTTTTTGGGGTGGTGTCCAAGAACCGCAACAACTTGGCATAGGTAGGGTGATATATAAGGGCGTCAGCAACCATTTTCTATGAGGATCTATTGAGTAGTCCAATCAAAACCAATTAATGTTAAAGGTTTAAAAACAGCTGAACGTGAATTTCGATGATGGGAAACCAGCTCCTTTTTAAACGTCGTTTGCTTGTGAGTGCTACAGGAAACTTTGGGGTAAAAGGAACCTTGGTCCGAGGAAGCGCGAGTTCCGGTTTTGGTGACACAAAGCCACCAGCAACGCGGCCTAGGACCCAAGTGCGAAAAACTCAAAACATAGATCGATCCACATAAACAACCAGGTATATGATTGGTAATAAGGAGAACGTCGACCCAGACGGCTTGACAAGCATATTGAAACACCCGCACCCAGATTTACAACTAGAAGCTGAGTTTACAGACCCCAGTATTGCTTCTATCGACGATGGGGATACCGCCACCCGGTTCAGAAGGCGTGTTTCTTTTGCACCAGAGGTCACTTTACACAAGATAGACTTTATTCCTCAACCCCAGAACCGCCGTCGGACTATAGGAACCGTGGAAGAACACGAGCTGAGCATCAGCTCTGTTTCCAGCTCTGCGTCTGTTTCATCTGACTCTCGTCCTCCTTCCCAAGTTCCACAACCAATACAAGACAGTTCCGACTTAGAGGACGAGGTGGAGATGGAGTTGACTGAAACCATTAGGAATATTCGAGAAGACACTATGGAGTTTACCCAATCTTTGGCCAGGCTCAATGTACCTGCTGCAGACGAAATACACGATAGTATGGAAGAGACCATGGAATTCACCCAATCCATGCCTGTGATCAGAGCCACATCTCTGGGGTCTCAGGATAGTGCTTCGGGGGTCTATGATGAGCCCACGATGGAGTTTACCCAGCCAATATCTCACATAGCCAATGTGGGTGACTTATCGACCATAAATGAACAAGATGAAGTGGAAAGTGTAAATTCACGCGTGGACGAACCTGAGATGGAGGTCACTCAGTCGGTGTCCAAAATCACCAAGGAAGTTAACTCTGTGGCAGTAGATGATATACCAGAAGAAGAAATGGAGGTGACCCAAGCTATCTCGAAAATCACCCAGCAAGAGCCAAATGACGAAATGGATGTCACTCAAGCTATCTCGAAAATCACCCAACAAGAGCCAAATGACAAAATGGATGTCACTCAAGCTATCTCCAAGATCACCCAACAAGAACCCACTGAGGATATGGAGATGACTCAGCCCGTATCTTCAATTCATCTGGCAAACCCCAGGTCTTCGCTTACTGATGAACTTTCTCCACAGTTTCCCGATGTGCAAATTCCAATTCCTTCAGACTTGAATAACAAGAGACTCAGTGAATGGGACCAAGAACCGGTTATCAAGGTGCGTAAGGTCTCAGAAAGTGTTCCTGTTGATATTGCTTCTTCTGAAGTACCACGGATTGTAGATAATCTCAGAAACTACAAAAATGTGTCGTTATCCCAGTTTTTAAACGATCTTGGAATCAGGTTCTTTGATGATATAGAGTCTGACGACGTTTCTAACGATTTGTTGACTAACAGCTTGACAGAAGAGGAATACGCCCTCGAGGATTACATGAAAGCGAACAATAAGCTACTTGTGTACTCGTTGTATGAGTTTAGCAACAAGGATTTATCGAAGAACTTAGTTGAAGGAAGAACTTTATACGAAGAGTTAAATAGCACAATCCTGGAAAATAACCCCGATTTGTTCAAGGAATTTTATTCTTCCAGCCTAAGTGAACAAGAATCTTTGAAAGCAGATTTATCTTTAATCCAAGAATATGCCAAGTTCGAGGCAAAAAATACGTGGTACAAATGGAGAATCCAACTCGTGGAGAACCTTTTAATCAAGTTACAAACAAAACATGAAGTGCTACTTTCCGATAAGGAAAAGCTTGAGAACAACTTGAGGCTCATTGCTGAAGAGTTTGATAGCAAGGTCGAAATTCTCAAAGACTTAAAAACCAAGTTGTCCGTCATCCACAAAGCAAAAGAAAGTTTCAAGAGTGACTCAGGAGAGTTTGATAGACTTAAAACTCAGTTATCCGAGTCAAAGGATGATATTCTCAAAATCCAAGCCGAAATGATGGTTAAATCCAGTGAATTGTTAGCATTAATTGAAAAGAACAATGGGTATGACAACACTGTTAAGACATTGACAGAAGAGATTAAGAAACACCAGGCTTTGATTGATCAAAGTAGAAAATTCTCTGAGCATGATATAAGGCTATTGAACTTCAATTTCAAGTTGTTTCAGGCAATGTCTGGTATTGAGTATAAGTGCAAAGAGGAAGGGAAGATGATTTTTTCATACAAAGAATTCAAGCTCTCCTTGGGTGGCGGTATAAAGGTTGAAACCACAGTACCAACATTGTACAATCTGTGGATCTATGATTACATATACAGATCGATAGACTCTATCAATGGTCTGACTATGGAAAAGTTTCATAAAATCAAAATCATCATCGACAGATTCCACAAACTCGACAAGGAGATCTTCAAAATCTCCATAAAGTTTCCCATCAAAGTAATTGAGAAAGACAATTCAAATGACTTCGGATTTAGCGTCAGATTCTCCAAGAAAAACGAGTTCAAGGCAATAGTTCACTTCAAAGTGCCTTTAACCAGCTTGGTAGAAGAGGATACGGTGCACTTCAAGCTTGAATACGAATTAATAAAATCTTATGATGACAAAAAAATTGATTCCATATTATCAAGTTTGAAACATCAGTGTCATATTTCCAACGAAATCTTGGATAACGCTGTATTATAAATGTATATTAGTATCGGTAAGTAGACAGTAAAAGAAAATCTCAAAATTGTTTGGCGCACTTCTATCCGCGATGTTTAGTGTCGACTTGGAAAACTCACTGTCGATAATACAGATTCGTTATTGAAGCAAAATGACTTCTGCATTACCTGTTGATGATATATCATATTACATAGGTAAACAGGAATCAGATTTTCTGGGAAGCTTGGATGTACCCTTGAGCAACGGTGAGGTTGTTTCTATCAATCTTGTTGACGAACTACCTGATGATTCCAATGAGTTGATTAATTTTTTGGAAACGGAAAATTGTCCTTCCAAATATTGGATAAGCGTATCACAAGGTTACGCCCGTTTAGGCAACTTAGACGAAGCCTTGAATGTGGCTGAGGCTGGTTCCAAGAAGTTCACTTCATCTAAAGACAAAGCATTTACCTATTTCAAGTGCTGGTTGTACTTGGAGTTCATCAGCCTGGGAGTGAAGAAGTCTGAATACATAAGCAAGTTGGACGACGAAATGGTGGAAGTCTTATATGATGATGAGAATACTTCTGGTGAGTCCTTGGTGGCATTGGTGTCTTTGAAGGCTGTTTACTCATTACTCAAAAGCAAAGATGAAGAAGCATTGAAATACTTTGAACACTTATTGAGCATCAATGAGATGAACTGCTTTGCTATGTTAGGAAAAGCACAGATAATTTTGAAGCGTGCAACTAATTATAATGTTGCATTGAAGTTGTACCAACAGGTCCTCCTTATAAATCCATCGATGAAGCCTGATCCAAGAATTGGAATTGGTTTATGTTTCTGGTTCCTCAAGGATTACAAGATGGCGTTAAAAAGTTGGCAAAGGAGCTTGGAATTGTACCCAAATAACGTAAAAGCCCGAATTTTGGTGAATTTGTACAACTTTAACCACACTTTCAACCAATCGTTAAGTGACGAAGACTTTGTGCAGAATTACAAAGACTGCTTACTGAGCTTAGATGAGAACTTAAAGTTGAGAAAAAATGATCCTGTCATCTTGCTAGTTTTATCTTCCTATTACTTCTCAAAAGGAAACTACGAGTTGGTAGAGAAAATCGCCAACAAAATTATTCAAGATATAAGTTCTGCTTCTAACAGCACTACCAAGAATAAATTAACGAAGTCTCAAATGAATGTGTTGTCACAATGCTCCTATTGGTTAGGTAGATGTTACTTCAAGCAATTGAACTTTACACAATCTCAACGTTACTTCCATGAGTCTATTAAATTCAACGAAAATAACTTTGCTAGCAGATTGGGATTAGGGTTATCACAAATCAGCAGAGAATTGAACCAAGAAGCTATCATAACATTTGAACAGTTGAACAAAATCAACCCTAGAAGCTTGGAAGTGAACTATTATTTAGGGTTGTTGAACTCACTGCTTAAATCTAGAAGACGGAACCAATTGGCTATCCAGCACTTGGAAAAGTATATCAATTTGAGTAATAATAGGGGATTGAATAGTGATACTTCTAATGATAGTGAATCTTACTGGTTGAACAAAGAGCCAATCAATTTGAATGCCTATTTGTTGTTGAGCAAATTATATGAGAGCAAGGATATCAACCAGTCATTGAACTACTTGGGTAAGGCAGTTGAAAGCAGAATTCAAATTAACAGAGAGGTTCCGGTCGAGATTTACAACAACATTGGTGTATTTAACTTCAACAAAAATAACCTTGAGTTGGCTTCCTCAAACTTCAAGTTGGCTCTTGATAATTTGGACAAGGTCTCTGAAGATCAATTAAGAGAAGACTTGAAGGTAACTTTGAGTTTCAACTTGGCAAGGTCTCTCGAATCCACTGATGAAGAGGGATCCATCAAGGCTTACGTGGAAATTTTGGAAAGCTGTCCTCAATACTTTTCTGCTAAGTTACGGTTGTTGTTTTTAAATTTGGTGTCTGACAAGAAAGCGAAGAATGAAATCAAGGAAGAAATCGAAGATCTATTAGAAACCCATTATTCTAACATGGAAATCAGATCATTTTATGGTTGGTTCATTAAAACTTTCGGAAAGAGCATTGGTTTGAAACCAGATGCTGACACCAACCACCAGAAAGACACATTAGTGAAGTACGATTCTCACGATTCTTATGCCTTGATTTCTCTCGCCAACATATATTGCATCATGGCAAGAGACTTGAAAGGTTCTAGCAATGAAGAGAAGCGTAAAAAATACTACATTAGGGCAGTTGAGTTATTCTCGAAAGTATTGTCTACCGATTCTAAAAATGTTTTTGCTGCTCAAGGATTGGCTATCACTTACATTGAAAACAAGGAATTAAACAAAGGGTTGGATGTTTTGAGAAAGATCAGAGACTCTTTGAATGACATTTCTGTTTACTTGAACTTGGCACATGTGTTGTTGGAATTGAAACAATTCAACAAGGCCATTGAAAACTACGAAATTGCTTTGAAAAGATTCACTAATGGTAATGATGCAAATATCTTGACCTACTTGAGCAAGAGTTGGTTATTGAGAGGAAATGCCGAGAAGAACTGGGGCTATTTGCTCAAGAGTTTGGAAAATGGAGAATCTGCCTTGAAATATTGCAGTGAGTCACAAGTTAACAATATGAAGTTTAACGTGTCCTTCATCCAATATCAAATGGCCGACTTTTTGATTAAATTGACTGTCACTGAAAGAAAGGTCGATGTTATTGAAGAGAACATTAATGGCTTAAAGAAAGCCATTGATATTTTGAACGAACTTGTGGAAAGTCCAAATGGAAAGGGAATGCCATACTCCAAGGATGATTTGAAATCTAGAGCCAGTATGGGTAACACGTTGTTAAACAGATTGACGAATGTTTTGCAAGATACTATTGACTATCACTTGAAGATCGATGAAAAATTACTCGAAGCCCATAGAATCAGACAAGAAGAAACGAATGAAAGACTCAGAAAGGAAGAAGAAGAAGAGTTGAGATTGAAGTTGATTGAAGAAGAAAGGGCCAAGGAGCGTGAAAAGTTACAGGAACAAGCCAAAATATGGGCTGAGGAAAACAGAGTTGTAGATGAGCAAGACAACGATGATAAGCTCTTTGATGAAGAAATTGACAAAGGTAAAGAAAACAAGAAAGGAGGTAAGGGTAAGGGTAAAGGCAAGGGTAAAGGTAAAGGTAGAAAGAAGGATTTCTTGAATGACAGTGAATCCGCTACCGATGTTTCTGAACCGGAGCCTGAACCAGAAGAACCAGAAGATGAGAAGCCATCCAAACGGAAGAAGAGAAATAATGTCATCGACAATGATGATGAAGATGGAGATGATGAGGTTGTGGGACACAAAAAGAAAAAAGTCAAATCATCTGAATTTATCGAAGACAGTGATGAAGGATTGGACGAAGATGAGTTATTTAATGAGTAAATATAGACAACTGCACCTGTATAATTAAAAATATAAATGTATCAATTAATCATGCCTGATCGTTAAGCCAGTCTCTTAAATTTCTGTTGGACTCCATAGTCCTTTTGTACAACTTTTTTTCAAATTCATCCAACGACAAGATAAAGTTGTTATTTATCTGTTTGGAAGTATTGCTAGCAAAATTGTTGATTTCATAAGCCCTTTCTTTACATAACTTCTTAAGAGTCTCACTAAGCTCCTCATCGGTGAATAGGGCACACCATCTCTCAGCAAGTATATAAAAATTTGGAGCAATGGAGTGTAAGTCGATGGATACCGGATCCGATTTAATGGCATTTTGCACTGTGTTGTTCAATGCATCTGGAGCAAGCAACATTATAATACTTGCATCACCACTTACTGGTGCTACTGCTAATGATTGAGCTAGCCAAAACGGGAGTTCGACTTTTGTATCTTTCTTAATGGCTTTTCCTGGTTGATTATCTAAGTGACCAATTCCTGGTACAGTGAAGTTGAATCGGGTGGGGATCTTCTCTGAACTGGCAAGAATGTCGCTGACATCCCAGTAGTTCTGTTTCATTTTGATAGTATCAACAGAAAAACACTGGAGTCGCGTTTCGTATCGAATAATTTTAGCTCATCGAAAACCAAAAGACTCAAAATGCCAGTCAAGACAGCACAAGGAACTTTGAGTGGTGAAGACCATTACGAAGGTAATGCCGATGCTAATATAAACTACGACGATGCTATTGAGTATTGGAGCTCAGTTCCAGCCTCTGTGAATGGAGTTCTAGGAGGATACGGTGAGCAGACTTCAGTTCCTAAAGCTGATATAGTCGGATCTCTGACCTTCATAAGGAAGCTTCTCTCCAGAATGTCAGTTGCTGAAGGTGAGAAGAAGTTGACCATCGATATGGGTGCTGGAATTGGTCGTATAACCAGGGACTTCTTATGGAAAATCAGTGACGAATGTGATTTATTAGAGCCAGTAAAGCCATTTTTGGATAGAATGGAAGCTGAGTTACAGGACGTAAAGCAAAGAGGAAAGTTAGGTGACATATATCCGGTTGGAATGCAAGAGTGGGAAATTCCACCTCATAAGCGTGGAAAGTACTGGCTTATATGGTGTCAGTGGTGTGTGGGACAACTCCCAGATGAAGAATTGGTGAAATTCTGGATCAAATGTAGAGAGAATTTAATGGAAAATGGAACTATGATTGTTAAGGAGAATATAGCCACATTTGAGGATATTTTTGATGAAACTGACTCGTCCGTAACCAGAACTGATACTAAGTTCAGAGAGTTGTTTGTGCAAGCTGGGTTTAAGTTGATTGCCAGTGATGTACAAAAGGGGTTACCCAAGGAACTATTCCCGGTTAGAATGTACTGTTTAAAAGCAATAATCTGATTGAGACTACATTAGGTAGATAATAGATAAGGAGGGCATTAAGAATCCCGATTAGTCTGTAAAATACGCTCAAACATACTATCTTAAAATTTAAAATATTAACCCTAACTTGGTCTGGATTTACTTGGTTCGAATGGAAAAGTCAACGCCAAGAACCCATTCACTGTGATTAAACCCCCACATACGTATAATGGAACTGCAGAAGCAGTGTTGCTGTAGTAGGCTATAATCGGAGAAAAGATCTGACCAAATCTGGTGATCATAATACAACAAGCATTACCAGTAGCTCTTGCTGTAGCAGGCATAATTTCAGGAGAGTAAGCATAAAGACATCCAAAGTAGATGTACAAAGTAGCATACACAATCGACGATATTGCTAAGTTTTGGGCATGGTTGGTGATTGCGGTATAGCCAAAAAAGAACGCAGCACTGGAAAAGGCTCCAATGGCTAAAACACCTCTTCTTCCTAGTATTGGAACAAAGTACAAGAGACCCCCAGCTATTAAAGGACCAGCAATTGAAACGACGTTACTTACGACGTTATCTCTGTACACCCCGTAAGTAGTGCTAGCAGAAATATTAGCACCTCGGGTGGCTAAATACGTTGGTAAGAACGCATAGTAGATAGGGTAGCAAATACCCAAAATCAACCAACTGAGAAACAAAGTGAGTGTAGATCTAGCCATCTTCTTAGTTCCAAACAAAATCGACAAATGTTTGATAACCAACTTAAACACCCCAACAATACTCCTATCTTCTTGAATACCATGATTGGAAACAATACTACCACAGTCTTCCAATTGAGCCAAGGTCAAGGTGAATTTACGGTTGTACTTTTCAGCCAAACCCTTCAACAATTCGAATGCTTCTTCGTCCCTGTTATTGGAGACCAAGAACTTGGGAGATTCTTTCAATCTCACAACCGTAACACGCAAAATGGCTAAAACCAACACTATGGCACCATTCACGTAGTAGGTGTACCTCCAGCCTCTATTATCAGCCGAGTCACAGTGAGCAGAGTCGGGGCCTTCACACGAAAAGTTGGTCAAGAATGCCCATGCAATAAGCACAGCCACTGTTTGTCCAATACCCCAGAAGAAGGCAAAGAACGTCAACAACCATTGTTGTTTGAATGGTAAAACTACAAAAAAGTTAGTATCAAAGATTGGCAGTCTGCGAGCAAAAATAATTGCAGCCAAAAAAAAAGCACAACATACATTCCAAAAAAACACAGGTGTCCAACACCAAATTACCTCCAAAAGCAAAGGCACTTAAAGCAATGAACAAACAGTAAGTAGCCATCGAATTCATGGCTCCGGTGATGATCACAAACAAACCAGACAAAAACAAAGACCAGTTAAAAGCGGTTTTTCTACCAATGATATCGGCACCGTAACCCCAGAAACAGGCTCCTGCAATCCCTCCAATAACCATGGCTTCGTTACTGATAGGGAAAGACTGGTCAAATTGGTAATTCACAAATTGTCTCACAGTGGACTCCAACATCAAAAGTTGCGAGTCGGTGGCATAACCCATCCCGTTCAAGAAGAACAACTTCAAATGGTACGGTGTGAACCCAATCTCATCTAAAGTGTTGTTAATCAACTTAAGTTTTTGGGCTAAAGCGGTATCGTCCGACTCCGAGTCATACAAATCGGAAGCACTTGACGAGGAAGAAGCAGACTTTACGCTTTCTTGGATGTCCTTTTCGATATCAGTAGCAACCATGTTGAGAAGATTTTAAGTTTGCAAACTGGGAAAAAATGATAGACCGATGAGATGGGGATACGCATCCAATTAAATAATCTTGGAATTATGCAAACCACCAACGTATCAGAGAAAATTTCAAGGACAGCCCATAGGCGGAAAAAAAAGCAAATATGTTATATACATTATCTTGTGCTGAAGAAAAAACAATAATTATTTTCGTATGCACAGAAATATTACTGGGCCAAGTGAATGCTCAACAGAAGTGGCACAATTGTGTGCTTTGTTGGCAATATCAGCAATACCACTAAACCAAGGCAATTCACATGTCGCCGTGTGTAAAAAAGCCTCTTCTATCAAACCTAGAATAAATAACCTTCCATGCTTCGACCAGTCGTAATGGTGAGTTCTTTGGGAAATGTGTAGCCTAAGGTCCCACCTGCAAGCGGGCGTTTTTATGTCCTGGTCCAAAGAGGAAAATCTTTCCCTGTGCAAGACTCGAAAAGGGCTTGGTAAAATGAAAATGAGCAATTGCTGAATGCGACCATGCCAGGAATGAAGGTAAAACTTACGTCATGGACACCTGATAGATAAAGATGCTCCAGTTTACTTCTTCGGAGCTACCCGACCTCACCTAATGGTAGAGCTATGTAAACCTGGAGAATGCAATCGGTGGACCCTTATCAGCAAAGACCGGTTTAAGATACCTTCTCCTCAGCCCTTTCTGATTGCCGATCGGTAACTGGTATTAGCAATTAACTGTGGCAGTCATCCACAATTTTTAGCTTGGATAATGCAATACTAGGTGGGGAACGCGCAAGCGACAAAAATGTAGGCAGGGACCTGTGATGAGGTAGTGTGTAGGCGAAATTCGAAAAAGGCTTGCCACGAAAAGCCGAATATCGAACTATAGCGAACGACATTTTATACTTTGCTTGCCGAACTAAAAGGAGGTAAACGCGACATTAATTTAACGGAAGTATTCATTTTATTTGGTATTAACTGTATGATTCAAAACTTTGGTGTAACATTAAAGGTAAAGTTAGCAATGTAGTAGCGGCTATCTGATTGGCCACCATTGGATCCACAGTTGAAAAATTGGTTATACCCGCAATTTTTCCTCGTCTCTGATTCTATCTTATCCTTATCTTTACTTATGGTTGGTATTTCGACTAATCTTATTCACAACAAAACAGTTTCTCGGGATGTTATACCTCCCATTAACATTTCCACTACCTACAAGTATTCCGAAGATCCAGATGACTTAGTCAAGGTAACAGACCTGAAAGGCTCAGAGGACTACTTCCTTAACGATACTTACTTCTACTCAAGGGTCAATCATCCCACCAGTGAATTGCTCGAGAAGGCCTTATCTAAGATCTTGGACGGCCATGTGGTGGTGTATAATTCTGGATTGGCTGCCTTTTTTGCTGCTTTAACGTACATCAATCCTAAGAAATTGGTTATCGGCCAGGCGTACCATGGCTGCCATGGGATCACTAAAATCTTTTCTCGTCTTAATGGATTGGAGGTCTTGGACTTGAAAGATCCTGGAAGTTTTGACAAGTTACAAAAGGGTGACTTGGTTCATCTTGAAACCCCTGTGAATCCTCACGGATTGGACTTTGATATTCTGTACTATGCGGAATTAGCTCATAAGAAAGGTGCTTTGTTGATGGTGGACTCGACGTTTGCACCTCCTCCTTTGCAGTATCCGTTCAAGCACGGGGCTGACATTATAATGCACTCTGCCACCAAATACTTTGGGGGCCATAGTGATCTCTTGGCAGGGATTTTAGTTGTCAGAGACAAATCCGTCCAATACAAGTTATATGAAGACCGGGTTTATTTGGCCACGAATATAGGCAACTTGGAATCAACTTTGTTGTACAGGAGTTTAAAGACATTTGAGTTACGGATCTTGAAGCAGAGTGACAACTGTGAACAATTGGTCAAATATTTAAATGATCACCGGGCTGAATTCAAGGTGTTGAAAGAATTGTTCCATGGGTCGCTTCAGACAACCAAGTACCCTGACCAAATTACAAAGCATTCTCCAACATTCGCTTTGACTTTGACGTCGGAAAAATTGGCTAAAAGTTTACCTTCAAAATTGAACTACTTTGTTCACGCTACATCGTTAGGAGGTGCTGAAAGTTTAATTGAGTGGAGAGCACTCAGTGATAGTTCTGTCGATCCTTCATTGTTAAGAGTAAGTGTTGGTCTCGAAAACATCGACGATTTAATTGAAGATTTCAAGAACGCTCTTTTGTCATTAGAATAGACATACAAGATGAAAAAGGGTAATATTAATATTTATTCATACAAAATTAAAAAGTCGTGAAAAATGTTCTCTTTATGCGGTATTTGTGTTTCGTTCAATCATGTCGTCAATTAGATCAATGTCTAATCGTTTGGTTATATCCAGCTCTAAGCATCCCGTTATTAATCCATTAACCCATTCATGATCTTTAAGAACATTCTCCAAGTCCTTCCGATTGAATTTGCCCTTTATAATCATGGCTCTGAGCCTGGGTTCATAGAAATGCTGGAATGGTAGTCTTCCCATGATCATAGTATAGATCAAGATTCCAAGAGCCCAAATGTCTGCTGATGGGCCAAGTGGTGGGGGGTTCGGTAACAATAGTTCAGGTGATGCATATGGTAAAGATCCAATGTGGCTATCAGGCAAGTCTAGGTCCACTTGACTTTGACGTTTAAGCTCTTTAGCTTTCATTTCTCTAACGTATTTTTTGATACTTTCGAGAGAACTGCTCAGGGTAGGCTCACTCTTTGAGGGAGAATTCGATCTTGACATAGATTTAATTGATAAGTTGTTTCTAGATCGAGACTTCTCATTCAACTCGTTGAGTAATAACCTGCTGTGGAGACTTTCTCCTTTATAAGGTTTGCGGACTTCGCTCATGGAACTTTTGGATCTGATTTCTGTGCTTGACCTCAGCCTATAGAATCTTGACATTCCAAAGTCACAGATAATCATCTGCCAATCATCTTCTGCTTCTTTAGTCTTATCAACCAAGATATTCTCAAGTTTGATATCTCCATGAACTATGCCTGAGTTGTGTAAATACTGGACTCCTTTGACGATTTGTCTAGTGAAATTGATTACAAGTTCTACTCTTCTTGAGCTAGGAATGGAAAAAGAGGATATGCTTTGAGCTGATCTTACAGGCCTTATGGGGCCTCCCCCCAATGATTGGGCATCCTCAGAAAAGTCTTCATTTCCTTCAATAACCCCCCATTTCAGAACTAACTCAAACAATGTTCCACCTTTGATTCTGTCCATTAAACAAAAGATAGAATCTTCTGTTTCAAGATATTTGAAGAGTTTCAAGATTTTTGGATGATTCAACTGCTCCCAAATCATAATCTCTCGCTTGAATAAATTAATGACACTCATCTTCTTATTGCTAACAATCTTCATGGCATAGGGGTTCTGGTTATTATCGAAGCATTCTCGAATAGTACCCCACGCACCAAACCCTATGACTTTACCCAATGTGTATTCCATGACTCTAGCTCCTTTCTCGTCAACATTCAAGGGAACTATCTTTTTCAAGTCTGTGGTCGATGAAAGTAATCGGCCAGCCAAAGTCTTTTTACCGAAATAGTTCTTCATGTATACGGAAAATTGAGAGTAATCAACGTTTTCATTGATCGACTTCACTACTTTTTTCCTCTGGGAGTATGGCATATCATTGAAATTGGATGGTAAGCTGTCTAAGATCATGTCAAAATCACTTTGACTCGTCTTCATTCGTTTCAATGACATCAGCGTAAGCGACCCTTGAAAGATCTTCTTTGGGGAAACCCGAGCATGCAAATCATCCAAGTCCAAAAACGAACTGGTGCTGTTGGTTCTTGACAAATCTGGTGTGTCACTCCACTTGTAAACCATGTCACTAAAGTTTAAACCAGGAATGTATTCATCTTCGATTCCAAATGGACGCCCATGAGATCGACTGTATAACCTGCTGATACCGGACTCTGTCTCTTGATCCATATAGGTTCTCTTTGGACGAAATAATTCGTCGTCATACAACCTATGTCCTGTTTCCTCATCGAAATTGTTGACTTCAGTCTCTGAATAAGTTCTAGTCAACTTGTTCAATTGGTGTTCATCATCATACGTATCAAGAGTGTCATCATTATCGATGTGATATTTGCTATTATCAAGTTTTCGAATATCAGTTAGAGATACCTTTGCTTGTGACTTTAAGGGGATCTCCATGTCATCTACAAAGTCTTTTTTTCCTTCTCAAACAAAATGCGGGTGTTGATTAATCCAACCTTATTTTTCGCAACCAATCATACTAGCAAGAGGATCGTAAATATATACCTTATATCTAGAGATACAATATATAATATTACTGTTTGGATATGATCAAGGGGTTTAAAAACAGCTTGGAGAGTAAATCTATGGCGTCTGGGCGATTTTCGTATTCCAATTCAAAAGTTTTGGTCAAAAATTCTTTGGCTTCTGGAGTACACCATTCAGGAATTACAGGGCTGACATGGGTACCAATCTTGAAGATAGCTTGCATTTGCGTGAAGTTAGGAAAAGGATGCTTACCAGTAAACATTTCCACAATAAGACATCCGACAGACCAAATGTCAGCTTTTTTGGTATAAGCCGTTTGCTTGACTACTTCTGGTGCCATCCAATAAACAGATCCTTGTAGCGATGCTCTTCGGCTAGTTTTTTTATCCGGCTCATTGCTGTCATCACTCTTGTTAGTTATCTTCTTGGAAATCCCGAAATCACTTATCTTGACCGTCCCTTTAATATCAATCAAAATGTTCGCTCCTTTTATATCACGGTGAATAATGTCTTCTCCATGGAGGTAGGTCAACCCAATCAAGACTTGGCGGATAAAATTCCGTATCAAAGGTTCCTCGAATGGTCCGTACGACATCAACATCGATTGCACAGATCCCCCGGGGACGTATTCTAGGAAAATATTCAAGTGTTCTTCAGATATTGAAGACCCCAAGTATCTGACAATATTTTTGTGGTTTAAATTCTTTAACAACAACATTTCATGTTGCAAGGCTTCGACCATTAAGTTTTGCAGTTCTGGTTGTGAATTGTTCAAGCTAACTTGTTTGACAGCCATCAATTCTCCTGTGAATGGCGACATTCCCAAATACACAGTTCCAAAACTGCCGGACCCAATCCTTGCACCTTTCAACCAGTTTTTAGGTCCATCTTCCTCCAAGAATGGACTTGGTTCTAAGTCACCATATTCAGCTATGAAGTCACCATCATCAAAATAGTCGTCGTAATCCTCATCGTCCGAATCCACATTCAATAGTTCAATCCTTGAATATCGATTGTTGTCGTTAGATTGGTCAACAAAGTTAGCTGCTATCGATAATCTAGCCTTATTGGATGAAGCAGTGGTGTGATACTTCAGATCCCCCCCATAAGGTGATTGACTTCCGCTCAAATTAGATTTATCAGAGTTAATAGACGGTTTGCTGAATATCGAGTAGTTATCCCCGGGGTTCACCACTTCCTCAATTGAATTCACGTGATTCACCATCATTTCACCAATAGTTCTTCCTGAAGGTAGTCTGCGTTGTTGCGATGAGGAATTATCGCTAAGGTTGAGGGAAGGAGCTGGGTTTCTAACGGTACTATTACTGTATACCGAGTGTCTTTTGTGACTACTGGAATTAACAGAAAGGTTGCTTCCCAATCCTAAACCATTGTATGGTAGTCTTCGTGAAAATCTCACACTATACCTCACACTGTTTCTGATACTTTGTTCCAACTCTTTATGATGGGCTTCCGGGAAATATTCTGCCAAATTAGAAGAAATCAACTCACTTGGAGGTCTTTGGCCAAATACTTGTCTCAATGTCGGTGGCTGGTTAATGGCCGGTTCTTGTTGAGTATTTATAGACTTGGCTTTATTAAACCTTTCGTATTTAGCCATTATTTTTGCACTCACTTCCACTTGAGTACTGGTAGGATACTGGCCCTTTTCACATAACATTACCCGATGCTTTTCGAGTCGTTCGGGAGAATAACATATCGTGACAAGTTCCACGTCATATAACAAGCTAACTGCATCAATTGAATTAGAATTTTGAATGTACGTGTCATATTTGTTCTCTTGCAGTTTTATACCCAACTTTCTCAACACTTTACGTTTGATGGACTGGGCATTGAAGCATCCTGTGACATTCACCTTCTTTAAAGATCCATCCGCTAATATGAAAGTGATGTTTTTGTTGGAGTTCTTATTCTCTGGAATAGCCGAGTTCTGGTTCAAATTGATGGTACTTTGACTCATATTTTGTATAACATTCACATCTGTTGACTGAACTATCGTGGATTCGGATGTCATTGCATAGTCGCCTATATTGAGGGCACTAGGTCTATAAGTAGGTGAGGCAAGCGTATAAAGGTTCAAGCTGTTATAGAGTTCGTCAATGGAGATAAGCTTCTTCAATTTCTCTGCCTTAAGATTGGAGACGGCTATTTCGAGTTTCAACCGATCTCCCACTTTTGTAACCCCAAGCTCTTTGAGGGCGTTTGTGTCAAGCTCTGGAACAAGCTCGTATGTAACCCCTTGCTCCACAAACTTGGTATAATAGTTTTGACAATTCGATTTGGTTAGCCATTGCTTTAGCTCTTTGAGATCAATGTTAGGAGTTTCAACAGCTTGGGAAGTGGTGGGACTCTCTGAGTCGAGATTTTTGGATAGTGCTGACATATGGTTGGAATATATTGTATGTGAGGATGAAAGTTCCAAGTGCTGGTTTAAGGGATTGAATTGTGAAAAGTGGGAATCGAATTGTGTGCTGAAACAAGTTCTTTGAATGAATCGAAGGTTTGTAACGCGAATTTGTGAAATATAGTTTACACTGAGATGTAAATACCAAATACAGCCATACGCTTAGATACTACAAGATGACAGATTATTCATACTAAATACATTATAGTTGGAAATTAATACTATACCTTAACCCTTAAAATTAACTACCTCCCCAAGAGACACAATCACCTGCTTATCAACCTTGGTCTCAGGATCTGATTCCAATCTCTTCCAAGTTGTTATTTCTCCCTTGGTAGTATCAAATTCGAAACTTCTTAATCTCCTTATGTATCCCCCATATCCACCGTATCCACCTTCTCCAGAACCACCACCATAGCATAACCACATTTTATTTGAATTCAATTCTTTGCTATTTTCATTGTCAAGAAGGCAGTAATCATTACAGTGATCATGGCCCACACTAATAGCTTTGACACCAAGTTCACCTAACTTTGTCCGAGCATGGGTATTATACTTTGGTGCCGTGATTCCTTCACGTTTTTCTCCAATATGAGCTTGGTCCAAGTTACGGTACTCTGGTAATGGGATATGGAAAAACGCCATTGACATGTGATAATTGGGGAAACTTTCAATTTGAGTCTTGAAACTACTGTATTCTCTTTCGGCAAACATCAACTGTGAATCCTTGATCCAGTCATATCCGGGATTGACTTTTGGATTTTGAGAATATTTGTGAGTATCGAGGAGATACAACAACAAGGCTGAGCTTTTAGGAGAGGATCCTTGAACACTTATGACATAATTTCCAATTCCAGAAACCTCTTCGGGGCCATTGGCTGCCAAGCTATAAGGCAAATTAGAAATTAAAGACATCATTTCATTCCTGGGTATAGAACCTTCATCATCGTGATTTCCTAATGTGGCTGCAAACGGAATTTGTCTCGTGATAAATGGATACACTGCTTTGAAAAGCGCTGATTCACTGTCTGGTGCTTCATCTCCAAATATCTGATCACCAGTCAATACCACCAAATCAGGGGTTTCGATATCCAACACTTTTTCAAGGAACTTCAAGGTTCTCGGGTCGGCTTCGCATCCTTTAGCGGTCGAATCAGGAGCTGGATCTCTACATTTCCCTACTCCAGTAGAGAAGTGTAAGTCAGCTACTTGAAGAATCTTGAATTTGCCTTGCTTGTCGATCTTCAATGGTTTCTGATACTTGGACGATTTGTAGTCAACTTTGGCACCTCTTCTGAATGTCAAGTACGGTTCTCTTCCTTTAGATGGATTAATCCCTGAGACTGGAGCATCCTTAATAATATTCCAATTTGGCCTTGGTTCCACCGCATCTTTACCAAATAAAATATCAATACCAGTTATAGCTTTGGTGGTAGAATAATATTCGAATTTGCACCATATTCCATTGGACTTGTGCTTCCATCCACTTTTATCAAGCTGCTCTTGAGTGGGAATTTCATAGTGGATATTGAGATCCAGTATTCTCTCCTCAACCTTCCTGGATTCTAGTTTAACCTTTGGTTCAGATTTTGGCTTTGTCTCCTTTTTGGTAGGAGCTGCTTCCGGGTCAAATTCACCTTTGGTGTCTTGTTGTAAAGAAGCTTTTTGATTCTCCAAAGACTCTGCAATTTGCTCATCTTCTGCTTTTTGCACTTTTTTAGCTTTTTGCTTTTCCGATTCCTCATTAGTCTTCTGTTTCTGTTTCTGTTTCTGTGTGTCTTTCTCTTTCTGTTTGTCTTTTTGTTTGTCTTTAATTGCCGTCTCATCTTCCTTTCCCAAGGCTTCTTTTTCCTTCTGGTCAATCTGATCTTGCACCACCTTATTACCCAAGCTGGCCTTGTGCTTATAACTATCTTCTTTGGATAGTTCTCCTTTGACACCATGATTTTCGTAATGGATCTGATCTTCGTCATCATACACGTCAGACTTTCTGAATTCTTCCAAGATCTTTTGAGGAAGTTTCATGTTATTTCCTGGAATTTTGCCATCCACCTCGGGGTTATACACAGCAATATCTGTTATAACTAAGTTGCTGAGGCTCTCATCAAGCTGACCATTCTGAAAAGCATCATGTTTGAGGATTTTGTAACTGAAAAACTGTTTGTGTAAAAAGCTCGACCCCAATGTTAAGTCTTTATCAACTCTGTTCCAACCTCCAAGCACACCCAAGTCTCCATTAGCACCTTCAGCACTTCCGGGGACTCCACAAAGAGGGTTGTTTCCGTTGAATTTAAGGCATTTTTTCACCAGGATATCGATGATATATAGATCAGACGATGGTTGGAAAAATGTAGGTGTCAAGTAGTATGGAATATATCGATTGATATCGATATAATTATGTTGATTGGCAAAGAACAAGAGTGCAGACGCAGTGGCAAAGAATCCAATCGTATACACTACTGCTCTTAAGAACCGTTTGGATAATCCGAAGCTCATATAGACGTAACGTAATAAGTTCATTCTTTTTCTCGCGTTCGCATTGTTAAGATAAGGTGTTCATCAAATTTGAAGTAAAAAATAATAGGAAACGGGGCAGACCCTTATAGAAAAAATATCACAAGAGCATTGGTTATGTTTCTTATGAGGCTTACTCGTCTGGAGAAACGGTATGTAAAATCAGAGAGAGTTACCTGATTCTTAGCCGTACACTAACCTTTGTATTACCTGATCGTATTTCTGTGAATTTTACAATTATCTTGCTTCCCTCCTAATTCCTGTACATTTCCATAATATATAACCACCTTTTATTTTCTAATAACAAAACTACAGGCTTTTCTTTTCTTCCAACTCAGCTTCTCTAGCCTTGGCGGCTGGAGTCAAGTCAGGAAAGTCCTCGGTTGGTGGTTGTGGTTTGTGGTGCTTTGGCCCTAACAAAACTGAATGAGGCTTATTAATACTGGAGAATGGAACCTGCTTATTGCCAATCTTCACATAGATATCGCTAGGGTCCATGTCGACAGCACTTTTGGTGGGTTTAGGAGAATCTTGGTTGTTTTCTGACATTCTTCAAAATTATCTATTTGTAAATTTAAAGTGGTTGGATCACTTGCTTTATATATATGGCAAAACCGCACCAACGTGCAGGAATAATGACTAGAAAAAGTGCATTGCGTTTATTGCAAAACAAAAAGAGTGCACGCCTATATATTTGGCAGAGCCTCACCACCAGTACTGGTATTGATACCAACTTCGGGAATCATTCGAGTATTGATACCAGTTGTGTGGATGGTTATAAGCATGACTATCAAGTGCAAACCGACACAGTAGAGCAAAAATAACATTCTGGTGGTTCTAGTGGCTAGAATCGCTCTTGTCAAGCTAATAAAGATTCGCTCAAACGGCGAAAGTCTTGATGATATTCTCTCTTGTTCTTGAATTCTGAACTGCTCAATGGGATGGAGCTTGGACTCGTAGCTGCTCTTGTAGGGGTTGTTACTCTCCAAGTCGGAGTTTCGTTTAGGTTGCAATGTGCTTCTGCTTTTGCTATTATTACTGGTAGCTGCAAGATACCGGGTTCTTTCGTAAAGCTCCTCGTTATCCTTCTTGAGTTTGTTGATGGTTCGTTTGAGGTCATTGATGACTGTGTGTTGTTTTTTGACTTCATTGTCGAGTTCGTTGGTTCTATCTCTGAACCGATCTCTTTGTTTGGTGATAAGTGGAAGAATAGACGATTCGTCGTTGTTGTTATTGCTGGTACTTAGCGAGTTCAAAGAAGGGGCAATAATGCTCCCAGCAGGCTTCCACCCACTTATCATGCTCATGTTATCATTGAAGTTGCTGACCTTATCGAATTTAGATAATTCATCTTCAAGTCTCTGATTTTTCTGTGTAATGTTAGTGATTTGGGCCGTGCAATCAGCTAATTCTTTTTCCAACGATTGGAGCTTTGATACAAGCGCATCATGTTCTGATCTATAAGTCACAAGCTCGTTATTTAAGGCCTTATTTCGCTTGATGAGTAAACTGTCAACCTTATTTTTGGTTTTATAGTTAAGGGAGAGACTGCTAGAGTCAGCGTCATCTTCGCCATCTTCTTCTGAATCAGCCTCATCATCTTCAAACTCAATCTGCCTCAAGAAATGGAGCTCAGATTTGATCTCATCATAGTCTTTTGTCTTATTGGCTTTAACTTTCAAGTCTGATATCTCACTCTTCAATTGCTTGATCTCTTTATTCAAATATTCAAGATGCTTGTTGTTATTACTGGTGGTATTTTTGATGGACTTTCTTGATTGTTCAAGCTCGGCTATTAACAACACGTTCTCACTTTCTAATTCGCTAATCTTGCGGTTGAACCCTTCTTTCAAAGTTTCAACTTGTAAATTGTTCTTCAGAATCGAAAGCTCTCTTCTCAAGTCTTCATTACGCTTTTCTACTTCCAAAAGTCTCTGCTTACTGTATTCAGCATCTCTAGAAACAATCTGCAACTCGGCCAAGATTGTCAAGTTATCATTATTGGAATTCAAATCTTCATTTTGTGAGTTCAATTGAAGTTCGGTAACCTCATTAGAGGTCTTTAATTCTTCAATTGTGTTCTTGTAATCATCTAATTGCTTCTGGAGTAATTTTTCTTTTTCTTGCCAATTGGACTCCTTCTCGTCGATCAACGCCTTGAACTCGTCCTCTTTAGCCTTAAGCTTCGTGCTTAACATTTCCGCTGATTGTTGCTCAGTTGCAAGTAGTCTCTTTTTAAGCTGATTATAATCGGCCTTTTTACTCAATTCCTCGTTCAACTTGTTGATTTCCGCCTTCAAATTAGCAACATCTCCACTCTCAATCACGCTGTCTAGACTGATCTCCAATAAAGGCTTTGGATCGGGAGCTTCTGCAATTGACCGGTAGAAATCAAAAAAATAACCTTCAATCTTCTTCAGCTTATTTGTCAAGGTGTCAATTTCATTTTGGTACAATTTGAGCAAACTTTTGAATTGGTCGAGTTTTTCAGGATCAGAAAGCTTCCGGAACTCTTTGGTCTTCGAAGCTAAGTTCTTTCTGTTCAAAAGAGAATCCTTTTGCTCCTCTTTAATTTCAATCCCTTGTTGATCTAATTGATTTTGAATAGCTGGCAAATCAGTTTTGGTCCAAAACTCCAACGCATTGTTAAAGACATTGGATGCTGTCCCCAAAGTCTTTTGGTCGCTGTGCTTGAGAGCGTTGGCCTCAGAGTTTATCTGGGATGCTTTACTTTGGGTATCTTCACTCATGGCTTCGAGGTTTAAAGAATCTCGCGCGCGGTGGCAGAAATAAATACGATGTCAACTTCCACGTATGTGTTCGGTTATGCAAAAGCCTCTATAAGGCAAAGATGCCACAAAAAACACAAAACTAAAACTACATGCATTATCTATACAAAATCTTAAATGAAAGTTTCGTATGGGACTGGAGCTAAGGTTTGAGGAACGTTACCTTCGGTAGAAACAATTCTAGCATCTCTTGGCTTAGCAGGCTGTCTCTTCAAAGACACTTGTTCACCATTGGCCTTGGCTTCTCTCTTCAAAGCAGCGTTGGTTTTGACTCTGTTCAAGAATTCTTGCCGACAAGCAGAGTGCTTGATGTGTTCAACTCTAATGTTGACTCTCTTTTCAATATATCTGTGGCCAACAACCTTGTTGATGATAATACCGACAGAAGACTTGGTGACATTGTAGATGATACCAGTCTTACCGTGGTAGAACTTATGGGGCATACCCTTTTGGACGGCACCATTCACTTTGATGTCGACGATATCACCAACCTTGTAGGTCTTCAAATAGGTGGATAAAGGAATAACACCATGTTTCTTGAAGTCACGTTGGAAGGCGTAACGAGTACGGGATCTATAACCGTGACTAGATGATGTTAGTATGGGTTTAGAATGGTTGCAGATGAAGAGTTCAATGGGACCTGAGGAAATCATCAAACATAAACTTGCCGAAATGGTACGAAATGATCTAAGATGGAGTGACGTGAAAGTGAAAGTAATGGTCTTTCAACACGATATCGGTAGTTATGATTGAACAGTCTATTCAGATGTCCTTTTTTTATTCGTTTCTCTGTGGTACATAGGTATAGTGAGCACGATGATATAGTCTACAGAAAAGCCCAGAAAACACAGACAGCGTCCAAATAGACACATCCGAGTCTCCAATCTCCTCTAATATCCATTCACTCCTTCTATCTGCTATTGGAAATGCTGACGACATACGATTTACCCATAGTGTTGTAGTATTAGTTGGATTCAAAATCTGAAAACTTTTTAGTGAGAAAATTTCTGGAGTTGGATATTGACAGGGTTGGAGCCCCAATAACATCCCGTGATTGCAAAAACCACCTGTCACAATTTGCAACAGTACACCCTCTTAACAGTAAAGATACTATTATTGAATAATAACCTTATATTCCTATTCTACACAAACTATTTGGAAAATGTAACCAAAATGTATTAAAATGAAAAGTAAATAGATGCGTTAACTAATTTATTCTTCATCCTCTTCAGCATCACCGGATTCAGCACCCTTAGCCTGGTTTCTTCTCTTAACTCTTCCAGCTCTTCCACCACCGTATGGAGAGTTGTGAGCAAAGTCAACGTGCTTTTGAGAGTCCAATCTGACCATGAAAGATGGAATGTTAACAATTTGCTTACCAACAGCAATGTGTCTTTGGGTAATCAAGACTCTGGCGTGGTGAATAGATCTGGCCAATCCCAACTTGAACACTTGGGTTTGCAATCTTCTTTCCAAGAAATCTTCAACGTTTAAAGCCAACACGTAATCCAACTTCATCTTGTCTTCAGACAAAACACCAATTCTCACCAATCTTCTAATCAAAGCATTACCTTCGAATAATCTCTTTGGGTCCTTTTCGTCTCTGGTCAAAAGATCACGAGCAGCTCTTCTGATTTTAGACAATTGAAAGTTAATTCTGTAGATTTCTCTCTTGTTCTTTAAACCGAATTCACCGGCCAACTTCAACTCAGAATCTAATCTGGCAGATTCATAAGGCTGCTTTGGGACAGCGAAAGTCTTAGAGTAGGTTCTTGGGGCACCTGGATTTAATGTTAGTACTAGGTTGGAGGCAATGAGAATGAAGAGAAGCTACGAGTTTTCATCAAGACGTTACGGCCAGAGTGTCACCACATTCATACCACCACACGTCACTAACAAGTGTTCGCAAGACATTTAAGTAGTTGCGGACAGCACCAGTGTGTATGTTGTGAATGTGAGACTTATTCTTAAATAAAGTGATTGAAGTGTCGGGAGTTCAATCACAATAAATAAGCTCTGAAACGTTCCAGCAGACAACTGCCGGACGTCTTTAATGAGGACCCGAACCTCTAGGTAATACTAGTATCACCATCATCCTGCCATGTGTAGTAAACTTCACATACGAGGCATATTGAAAAACTTTTGATGAAGTGAGAAGAAACTGAAAAATTTTCCAGCGCTAATAATTTATACCAAGAAATGAGCAGGGAAAAGGGTCGTGCATTAGGCGTATTTATCAAGAGCTCGAGAGATGAGCCGGACCGAAATGTACGCGCAGAAGCGACCCGCGCAGTGGTTTCCAGCCCGCGATGTAGTTGCAACTGGTTTTGAAAGCGAAGTGACTATCACAAATGAAGTTTTTGGCACTTATCTCGGGAGGCAAGGATTCCTTCTACAACATCCATCACTGTATTACTCAGGGACATGATCTTATAGCCCTTGGAAACTTGTACCCGAAAAACACCCAACAGGATGAGATTGATTCATTTATGTTCCAGACTGTAGGACATGATATAATCGATAACTATGCAAAATGTTTGGATGTACCGTTATATCGCCAAGCCATTGAAGGACGCTCAAAAAATCAGGAGTTAGAGTACTCCAGAACTGAAGACGATGAGATTGAAGACCTCTTCAAGTTGATCACAACTATAGTGAAGAACCATCCCGATGTACAAGCCATTAGTTGTGGAGCAATTTTATCACACTATCAAAGAACCCGAGTGGAAAACATCTGTGACAGGTTTGGATTGACATCTTTGGCTTTTCTTTGGCAGAGAAATCAAGACCAGTTGATGCGGGAAATGTGTGACAGTCGATTGGATGCTAGAATCATCAAGGTGGCTGCTATAGGATTGGATGCGAAACACCTTGCGAAATCCATAAAGGAGCTTTATCCGTACTTGGTCAAGTTGAACAAGATGTATGATGTGCATATTTGTGGAGAAGGGGGCGAGTTTGAGACAATAGTGTTGGATTGTGTTTTCTTCAAGCACAAGAAGTTGAACATGATCGATATGAGAGTGGTTCAACACTCTAGTGATGTGTTCTACTTGAAATTTGGTATCGAAGTAGTAGATAAGAAAGAGGAAGCAAGAATTCCCTTTGCTCTGGCGATAGTACCTTCCTTGCTTGAGAATAGCTTTCAAGAAGTCTTGGAAAATAGCGTGATATCCGAAGAATTTTATCCAGCCGTAAGTTCTAATTCTACTCCGTACCAATTGAGTCTGAAGGTCTGTTCAGTAGGAAACAATATTTTTATATCCAATTTGGTGGACTCATCAAACACAATCCAAGAGCAACTATCTAACATTTTTATCCGGCTTGAGGAATTCTTAAAGGATGCTAACCTCAGTCTCAACGACATTCAACATATAACCCTACTTTTGGCGGACATGGACAAGTTTTCTGAAATTAACGGGATTTACTCCTCCAAATTCATAGACCTTTACCTTCCCCCTTCAAGAATCTGTATTGAAACCAGCTTGCCAGATCCTTACCAGGTTCAACTATCTTGTAGGTGTATCATTAAGGAAACAAACACCAAAAAAGGGATTCATATCCGATCAAGGTCTTATTGGGCTCCTCAAAACATCGGCCCTTACTCACAAGCCAGAGTTGAAGAACAGAAGGATTTCAATTTTGCAACCATTTCAGGACAAATCCCCTTAATTCCTTCAAGTATGGAATTGTTATCGTCGGGAAATGAGACCATTGCGCTAACAATACAACATTTTGATCGAATCCGAGCCTTGATTAACGTTCAAGAAATTTCCACCATCCTATGTTTCGTAACCCATGAGTTAAATCTTGATAGCCTTAAGCAGATTTGGCACACTTATTGCCAAACTGACTCTCACCAGAGTCTACTTGAAAAATTAATCATTTTGAACGTTAGCCGACTTCCAAGAAATGCAAGCATTGAGTTTGGAGGTGAAACCTTCAAGAGTGTTGAAGATTTACTTGAAGAGGACGAGGAGATTGAAAAGACAGACCATAATGATCTTATAATTTGGATCAAAGAGACGTTTCCAGACCTTATATTAACCCAGTTAAAAGACAGCGTGAGTGTGCTGATTTTCACTGACTCTGCAACAGACTTGAACAAGTTAATGAACGACTTAAATGGTTTTATAAGAGTCTATTGCAGTGGGGAGGATTTTAAGAAACTCGACAACTTTGGGGAATTCATGCCTGTGTCTCAAGTGATGAACTTCCAAATGAGGAATTACAAATATGCTGTTTCGGTCATAGTGAAGAGATAAGTACGAAAATATTAAAACACATAACTGATGAAGATTCCGGTTAATAATTGTAACATATAATACACACTAAATACCTCACCTATTCTTCTTCAACTCTTCGTTCAACTGATCGAGATCGTTGATATCTTCGGGTCCAGTGTACACCAAATCGTGGGGAATTTGAATCCCGTGCTCGTTACACATCTGTATCAACCGTTCATTTTCGTTCTTTAGCTGGTCAATATAGTCTGCGGATTTAGTCAAAATATTCAATTCAGACCGATTTTCAGTATCTGTCAATGTTGGCGTCAACGAGACTATCTTGTCAAACTCGGCTCGAATGTTCTCTCTTCTCCTTTGTTCAGATGCGATGTGGTGGGCCTATAATATAATTTAGTTAGTAATTGCTGGAAGATAACCCCACAACTGCGGGAAGAAAGGACTGATATGTGGAGTGAAAACGTACCTTTTTCTGTTCATCTGACAAAATGGAAGCCTTTGTCTGTCTTTTTCTAGACGCTCCCGACTTTTGTTCAGGTGACGAAGACATTTAGATGCGTATAGAATTATAGTATTGGGAGGGTCTTGGACTTTGACTTTGACTTTGCTTCTGAATTTTGAATGAGTGATACTGAGAGCGGGGATTGTATGCACACTACATCATCAGAGACTTGTGTTTAAGAGAAAAATAGGTTCCGCTCAAAGAAGAATAAGGAGTTAAGAATGTCAGTATGGGCATCCACTTTATTATTTGGAGCTTATGGATTTTGGGTATTTTGGGAGTAAACACAGACCCTCTAGAAGAAGAATGAAAATAATCACAAGCCATCTCAGCAAAAGAAAAAGAAAACCCACGCCGGGACTCGAACCCGGAATCTTTTGATTAGAAGTCAAATGCGCTAACCATTACGCCACGCAGGCAATTTTCAACCCTAAAACACCGTTGTTTATGAAACCGTAGTTCTGTTTAATCATTCTAACTCTCTTCACCACCACTCTTTCCAAAAATATTTTAAGAACTTAGAGAATCACTCAAGCCCTACAGGATAGTCTCTACACCCTGATATCACTTCTTAAGGTCTTTTATTTAAAGCAAACCTTTTGGGTAATGAGTTTGCAATGGCACTTGACTTGGTCAAGTGTGAACTCTTCTGTTGTCCAATGAGTAATCTGTTGCTACCTATTGAACAGACAGTTGTTATTCGTATATAAATTCGAAAGGTTTTCTTAGGATGCAACCTGCAATTGTGAGTATGTCTAGTTGCAAGAGCTAAGGTTTCAGCAATTCAGATGAAGCTTGCTTACTTAAGTCTTGAGTGGCTAATTCCTATTCGGGAAGTTTGCGATATGGCAACTGGTATTTGAGGAAATAGAGTAGTATACTTTTCATGCTGCTTTAAAGTCCGCAACACAGCTCAGATCATCACCGTAATGTAATATAGACCTCTGGTGAGTGTACCGGGACTCTCAAATGCATTAAGTTAACTTCATTTTTAATGTGGCTCAGTAGAGAAATGCTGCAAGGATATAGCTGCACGCACATATTTGAGATAAGCAGATAACTTTCCGATGATTTGAGACAATTTCTTTCACATCCTCATATGTTTTGTTAACTTCACTCAAATTCATTTACTATGTTTATGATTTTACAGGATGATACTTTCAGTATCACGGGGAAGAAACAACCTCTTAAGAGGAAAGATGGCGACAAATATGGAGGGAAGGTGAAATCAATTGTAGGCACTAAGTTTCGTACCAGAACTGGATGCTTGACATGTAAAAAGCGGAAACGAAAATGTGATGAACACCATCCTTCTTGCAACTACTGCCACTCAAGAGGCGTAGAATGTGTTTATGTTAACACTCCCTTACAAGGGACCAAACCCATAAGACCTGAAAGCGACTCTGAGGCTCCCAAAATCCAGCAAATTGATCACTCAGAACCACCATTATATGAGCTTTTATTAACAGATCCATCATTTAACCAGACCGAACAATCTTTGATTTCAATGCCATCTCCTGTTACAGAAAAGCAATTAAATTCCGATTTGGAGTATATTGAGAACATTTTAAACGAGCCTAATGATGGTACACTAATCAAACTTCATGAAGATCCAACAACAAATGAGGATCAGTTTGAGTACATGATTTCCCCAACTTCACTACATCCAACGGCATTTCCGTCGCTTTTTCTAGATGACGAAGGCCGGTCGTATTTCGAGTTTTTCCATGTTAAAGTCTCAAAGTTTCTTGCCCTTTCAGATGGCCCCATGAACTACTTTTCTAACTTTTTGTGTACACTAGCCAATAATGAAGAGTCATTTCTATATGCCTTGACATCCTGGGGTGCTCTTTATGCTGGACATGATGATACAAAGGTAAAAGTGTACCTTAACAAGGCATTAAATACATTTGACAACAATTTCCAGGCGAAGAACCCATCAGAGATATACTTCAGACTCTGCTTCAGCGTGGTTTTGATTGGATACTATGTGTGTTTTGGAGAAGTTGTGACATGGAAGGGTATACACGATAACTGTTGTAGGATTCTCAAGGATCTTGGTGGATTGTACAAGTTTGGAAAGCTATATGGGTTCACTAACGAGGCCCGATTCATCATCTCAAACGTTCAGTACGTGGATGTTATGTCAGCGTACAATCACAAGTACGGTACGCAGTTTCTGGTCGGCGAGTACAAGGAATTCCTTGGTTGTAACGAAATACAGAGAAATGAGTTGAGCTATGGCATTGATACACTTCAAGGAGTTCATCAGTCAATCTACTTGGTTCTTGCAGACTTGATGAATGCCAAAGTGGAATTGAACAAAAAATTGAAGGAACTTCAGATGTTTCTGGATACTGACGAGCATCGGTTTTACTGCCTAAAAGAAGAGCTCTATCAGATGTACGGAACTGTCATCAAGAAACTTGAAACATCTATTGAAGAAGCAGAACCCAACTACAGCTTACTCGAGTTGATAAAAGACCAACCTCAAGAGCACGATGCATATTTGAACTCATTTAAGTTGTATCAGTCAACATGCAGGTTATACTTTAAGCTCTTTTTGAAAAAGATTCCTCCCAAGAACATGGAGATTCAATTGCTAGTAAGAGAGGTTTACGAGGCGGCAGAGAAATTGGAGAACACCCGCTTCTGCGTGATATTGTGCCTACCAATGCTTATGTGTGGGGTTTGTTGTGTTGATAAATTTGATAGAGAAACGATCGAGAAAAAGATCCAACGGCTCAAGCAAACAAGCCCGGTCTTGAACAACCATAAAACTTGGTTATTGATTTTGAAATCATGGGAATTAAATCCTTGTGGTGAATTTGTTGTTGACTGGGCTGATATTGCCGATGAGTATGGTTGGTTTTTAAACTTGTGTTAATGAGTAATATGAAAATAATGTACAATGCAACGTTCATTTTAATGTAACCTCAGTTTTGTAGATCTCACTCCGCAATCTGAAAAATGCAACCAAAAAATATATAATATATCCTCACCTCCAAACAAAGGGTTGAGCATCATGACTACTATTAACTGGGGAATTCTAGGAGCTGGAAACATTTCTGGCCAATTCGCCCATGACCTCGTATTGAACAACTCTGAAAAGAAGGAAATTGTGCACATCATTGCATCAATTGGATGCTCGTCTACCACAAAAGGAGAATCTTTTATCAAAGACAATATGATCAGCAAAGAAAATAATGGAGGAATTGCAGCAGTAGTTCAAAACTATGATGATTTCTATAAGAACAAAGACATTGATGTGGTTTATATTGGAACTCCACACATTTTCCATAAAGAACAAGTACTTAAGTGTTTGGAAAACGGCTTGCACGTCCTATGTGAGAAGCCCATGAACATCAACGCCAAAGAGTCCAGAGAACTACAAGAGGCTGCCAAGAAGAATAACTTGTTTTTGATGGAGGCTGTTTGGACTAGATTCCTACCAATTGTCAATGATATCAGACATAAGGTTTTTGATCAGATACTCATTGGGGATGTGTACCGGTTAATGGTTGATTTCTCGTACGACGCTAAATTGGAAACATGCCCACCCGGTTCGAGAATCAGAGACAAGAACTTGGGTGCCGGTGCCTTGTTAGACATTGGTATTTACTGTATTACCTACGCTAGGCTCTTTTTGGATCAGAAACTTGGTAAGGAGCACACACCATTCGATCTTAAGTCGATGGTGACTGTGGATCCTAAGGATGAGGTTGACTACAACACTTCAATATTGATGAAATATTCCACCGGTAAGCAAGCCATTTTAACTTGCACCAACTATATCGACACCCCTATGCCATTTGCGAGACTCGAAGGTACGAAAGGGTATATCGAACTTTTCGCAGAGAATCCTGCTAGACTCAGACTGTACAAAGTACACCTCAAAGCTGGTGAAAGTTATGAAGTTAAAGACGATCTGGAATATTTAGGTTTCATTTACGAAGCCGACGCGGTTGCAAAAGACATTAAAGCTGGCAAGACTGAAAACGCAGTCATGCCATTTGACGAAACTTTGTTAGTTATGGACACTATGGATCAAGTTAGACTGGATAACGGGTTCAGCTATCCAATGGATTAGAGAAAGCAGTTTAGTATCCAATAGAATATTTTTGTAAAATAAGGGATGGCGACAAAACAGGCTCACGGTCTTCGCTCTTGTTCAATCCGTCTGAAGCATGTATACCAACATCATGACAAACTCTCAGTAAACTTTAATATAGGGGTAACCCCTTGGTGGCGAAGGCGGTGGCGACGCACTAGACTTAGTTCATCCCGAAACCGTTTAAGGAGCATTATTTATGGAGTTGTGAAGAAACAACTGCTGCTTGTAGTAATCTCCGGGTCTAAAAGTCTGCATAATAAGCCCCGGTATTACTGTAAAACTATTTTTTCCGAGGCGCTTTCCCCAAAAACAGCCAAATCCGAATGTCCGTTGCGCGCCGCCAGCTACTGAAATTTGCTCGGCTTTTGTAGTTGTCTGCCATTTTGCAGCGACCTAACACATATAAATATACAGTCAATTGTCCTTTATTCATACCTCAGTAATTATATACAACGATTTGTAAGAAAAATGTCTAGTCCATGCAAAATCACCACTAAGGGCTTCGGAACCATGTCAATGACTTGGTGTCCCGTCCCACCAGCATTCTCCCAATCCCTTGAGACTTTGAAATATGTAAAAGACACTTACGGAGTTAAGTTTTTTAACGGTGCAGAGTTCTACCAATTTGCAGCCGAAACTGCGAACTTGAAGTTAATTAGCCAATTTTGTGAACAAGAAAAGGACGCTGATATTATTGTTTCCATAAAAGGAGGCATTGACTTCAACACCCATGCCCCTAACGGTACCAGGGAATTCATAAACCAATCGATCAATAAATGTCTTTCTTACTTTAAGGATTTGGAGGTCAAGCCAAAGATTCTTTTTGAATGTGCTAGAGTTGATCCTAATGTTCCAATTGAAGAGTCTGTGAGTTATATTTACGAAAGAGTTAAGAGTGGTGATCTTGCTGGTGTCTGTATTAGTGAAGTGGGTGCTGAATCTGTAAAAAAGGCTGCTGCAGTGGTACCAATTTCTGGAATTGAAGTGGAATTTTCTTTGTTTTCGGAAGATATCTTTACCAACGGTGTTTTGGAAGAAGCTTCTAAACATCAAATTCCTATTATCGCCTATTCCCCTTTGAGTAGAGGAATTTTGACCGATCACGCTGCTGAAGATCCTGAATTCTTGAAATCCCTTGACCCAAACGAATTTAAGGCTAAATTCGAGAGATTCCAGCCTGAAAACTATGAGAAGAACAAGGGTCGCTTGAATGCTTTATACAAGTTTGCCAAGTCGAAGAACTTAACATTGGAAGCTTTGGCATTGAGTTACGTTCAAAGTGTTTCCGGACTTGAGGATTTTGAAGGAATCCCAAAGGTCACCAAGATTATTCCTATCCCATCCGGATCTACCAAGGAAAAGGTCGACAAGAACTTTGGTGGTCCAGTTCAATTACCAAGAGAAGATATTGAAGCGCTTCATAAGATCCTCGAGGAATACCCTATTGCTGGTGGTAGATACTACCCTCAAGCAGCTGCTTTGTTGGAAGGTTAAAATAGCTCTTTCCTACAGTCGCCTTATATTTTTTGTTCTCTTCGCTACATATATTGTTATATGAGTAAGTATATATCTGGTGAAATATTTACCATCACCTTCTAGATTTCAATCGAAAACCCTAGTGGTATAAGGCTGTCTTTTGTAAGGACACTCTAAATCTTTCAAAGTTACTCTACACTTGTTGAAAAGCTCTTCTATAGAATTAGATTTGGGAGTCTTTAATCGCACTAGTTAGTTATCTAATAGAAGACAATCGAGAACACAAATACCAGCGTAGACAACTTACTGAAAATGTATTCGAGGAAACAAGTATGTGCCATCCTAACAGTTGTCCACTCAACACCTCTATAATGGTGAACCATATCCGACTTATATGTTCAACATCTTTTTAACCTTCTTAAAATAGATATGGATCCATGCTTGTTCTCCCAAGTATTGTTGAAAAGATACTTGACGGCCGCGTCGTACTTTTGGTTTCGATCTACTTTTCTCAATTTCTTAATAATGTAAAAGTTTGATGGTGAAAGCTAAGAGGAAAAGAACCTTATTCAATAAATAAATCTGACTTCATATAAGGATGGCAGGTGGTGAGCCTGTTTAGGGGAAATAAATCCTAGATATTGCCCTTATAAGCGAAGATTAATCATAATACCTGACAGTTTCGCCTATTGCTGCAAATTCTCAAGGAATCAAAAATACATTGAAGTATAACCAGGGGTGTGAACCAGATATACACGAAAAGACAAAATTGAATGAAAGAAATTAAATAATCCGTATAAAAGGGGTTGGTTACCCTTCGAAAATATTAACACTCAAAGTAGTATCCATAAAATAGCAGAAATACCTACCATAAAGGTAAAAGAAGCCTTCGATCCCATTGCCTCATAAGTCGTAACAGATTCAGGAAATGTTTCCCCAGTACTGCTAGCTTCTGAGGTTTCTGGTGTTGTTATACCAACCGACCCAGCTACACTAGATTCAGGAACAGCCATTATGGCAGTTATAGTTGAGACTGCCACTTCTCCAGATTCACCTGTGCAGGAGGAAGTGATCACAACGGTAGTTGGCTGGTTGGAAATCTCATGTATAGCAGTTTTCTGACCATTAGAACCAGTAGTGGTATAAGTTGATGGTCTTTCACATCCACATGGTATAGTTACCGTGGTCAAATTGAATTGAGTGGCTGTAGGATATGGAGCTTCAATTACAACGGTAGGTTCACCATCCTTTCCTATAGTGGTGTAAGTCGAGGTGAAAGAACCAGTCCAAGGAATAGTAGTGGTTGCTTCTGGAACTTCCACCACAATAGTCTTATCGCCGTTTTTATCAGTAGTGGTGTATGACGAAGTAAAAGTACCTGTCCAAGGAATGGTGGTAGTGAAGACACTACCTGGTGTTTCAATAACAACTTTAGGCTCTCCATTGCTACCAGTAGTGGTGTAAGTCGAGGTGAAAGAACCAGTCCAAGGAATAGTAGTAGTGACTTCTGGAGTCTCAACGACTACTTTCTTCTCCCCATTAGAAAGAGTGCTTGTATATGTGGAAGTAAAGGAACCAGTCCATGGTGTAGTAACGGTCAGAATTGGAGTCTCAACTACAATTGTAGGCTCACCATTAGACCCAGTCGTAGTAATGGTGGTAGTTCCGGAACCTGTCCATGGTGTAGTTGTTCTTGCTTCAGGGAGTTGTCTTATCTACCAGTGGGGATTTGAACTAGAACAATGCTCTTACTGGAAAATCTCTGGGATTGTTATAATTCCAGTGATAATTTAAAAATCTATGCGGAAGCTACAAGGAAGGCAGGTGGCAAACCCGTATCTGAATAATACGCCTTAGAGGTTGTTTTCTGAAAATCACATACTATTCAGAATTCCCTATACTTATTTGTGCAACCAGTTTCTGGGTGCGAGAGTTTACTGA